GGCGGCGGGTGCCCGGCAGGAGCAGCAGCAGATAGCCTACAGGGCAGCTGGCAGGAGCAGCACGGAAGTGGCATTGCCACATGATCAATGAGGGGACACGTCCTGATGATGTACCTATGGACTCTGGAGGTGTGTCTAAACTACATGGCTCCATTGATGTAGATTAGGCTGATTGGCAAAGGGAAATGAAGCTGCGATTTAAATAATCGCGGCTTCATTTAAATTTAAATGGCTGCCGTTCTGAGCCGACAAACAGCTGATCAGCTGTTTGTCGGCTCAGAACGGCAGCCATTTAAATTTAAATGAAGCCGCGATTATTTAAATCGCAGCTTCATTTCCCTTTGCCAATCAGCCTAATCTACATCAATGGAGCCATGTAGTTTAGACACACCTGATCGGCAGAGCGGGGCAGCCATTTAAATTTAAATGAAGCTGCGATTATTTAAATCGTGGCTTCATTTCCCTTTGCCCAACAAACAAATCTACGTGGCTCCATCGACGGAGCCATGTAGTTTAGACATACCCTGGGTGTGCACTGACTGGACAGAGCCAGGAGTGGGGTGTTTGAAGTAGAGGGAAACCCACTGTATGAGTTGGGGGTTGGACTAAAGATCTTTCAGCAAAAGACTCTGCCCTGCGGACTCCGGGGATGGTACCTTGCTTACGGGTTTTCCTTGTTCATGTGTGTTCCTGTAGGGCGATGCTAGATTTCTGTTAGTAAAAGTTTCTTCTCTTCGTTCAGACTCTGTGCTTGCGAGTGGGGAAGCATTGCCCCCCAGAGGCACCCAAGGGTGTTGTGTGAATTTCCCCGGGGCTCAAGCCAGTTCTGTGTGGGATGGATGAAAAGGAACCCCTAGATACTGAACCCGGCCCTGGCTGCTGTCGGTGCTACCTGGCAGAAGGGTTCCATAGATCTTACATACAATACATATAAGGTTAATATCTTGGGCCCCACAGTGGTGCACATCTGAACAAGCGCACATGACCTCAATGTTGGTGCACCAGACAAAACTCACTCTGCCCATGGATGGAAAATCTTAGCGGGAACACTGCTGCTGGGGGGGCCGATTTCTTTGCTGGTCTCTAGTTAGTTAGCCTCAGCAAACCAGCTATTCATTCTCTATTTGTGTCTTCGGCCTGATCCGCACTTAAAAATTGGATCGACCTGGCTCCGTCAGGCAGAGCTGTGAGGAAGTCCTTATAGTTAGGATATATGGAGATATACCTATTTCTTAGGGTGTGTCTAGACTACAGGGTTTTGTCAACAAGAGTACTTCTAGACTACAGGCTTTTGTCGACAGAGGCTTTGTTGACAGATACTGTCGACAAAGCTTCTGTCAACAAAGAGCATCTAGACTACATCCAGTTCTGTCGACAAAGTGACTTGCTTTGTTGACATGAGAGTGTAGACGCAAAGGACAGTGTAGATGCAATAACGCCGTCTGTTGACAGGACTCTGTCGACAAAAGGCGTTATTCCTCATCAAATGAGGTTTACCGCCGTCGACAAAACTGCCGAGTTATGTTGACAGAACTCGGTGGTAGCGTAGACACAGGTATAATTTTGTCGACAAAAGTCCACTGTTGTCGACAAAACCCTGTCGTCTAGACACCCCTGAAGTGGACTTTTGTCAACAAAACTACACCTGCGTCTACACTACCGCCGAATTCTGTCAACATAATGTCGACAGAACTCGGTAGTTTTGTCGATGGAGGTAAACCTCATTCTACGAGGGATAACACCTTTTGTCGACAGAGTTCTGTTGACAGAAGGCATTATTGCATCTCCGCTGTCCTTTGTGTCTACACTGTCGTGTCGACAAAGCGCCTTGCTTTGTCGACAGAACTGGATGTAGTCTAGACGCTCTTTGTCGACGGTATCTGTCGACAAAGCTTCTGTCAACAAAAGCCTGTAGTCTAGACGTACCCATAGAACTGGGAGGGACCTCGAGAGGTCATCGAGTCCAGGCCCCTGCCCTCATGGCAAGACCAAGTACCATCCCTACGCCCTGCTGTAGATGAGGCGAGGCCGGGGGAAGGACTTTCCTGTCAGCCTAGCAAGATGGTTGAACTACATAGACAGAAAAAGCCCTCTTCCTTCACCGTAGGACGCTACATCCGTAGCACACACTGGCCCTTAGCCATCTCCTCAGATATGTCAGTGAACAAATAGTCCTCTGTGCTCGGGAGTCTCACCGCGTTGTTTGTAACGGATGCCTTTCCAGCTGCAAGAGGCTGTCCGTGGTGGGGGGAGGGCAGTTGGTGTTGTCCCCCTCCAAGGATTTTTTGTGCCCCGTCCAGCAGGAAGTGGAGG